AAGTCAGTTAGGAATGTTCCAGCAAGAGCTCTGTTCTGACTTTCTCCCATTAAAAACTTCCACTGACTTCATAAACATGGGTTTTTTTTCAGTGTGATGTGGAGCTTAACATTCATGGAGCTGACTTCTGGGATAGACAAGCTGAAACTTATTCTAGCTACAGTCAGATGCCTCAGAAATTTGAAACAGTGTTCTCCAAGGTCAGGTCCTCATTAGCAAAGAAAAACATTTTTAAGTGCTGGTTTAAGCAATTTGATAGCAGATCCAAAGGCAGAATGCATTTCAGGATTACTCAAGGAAACAGGAGGAAATGAACCATGTAAAGTATTTGTCAAACAGTTTTCTACACTCTGCAAATCTATTTTAAGGTTCAACATCTGCATGAAGGCCTTAACTTAGTTATATTTCTTCAGACCTTCTGTGGATATATCTTAATTTTGGTATAGATCCAGAAACCAATCCTCGTTTCAACTGGAAATCACATTTGAAATCCTAATGCCTTGTTTCCTTTTGAACAGAGCAGTCTCTGAAAGGACAGTTCTGAGGAGTCCAAAAGAGCTTGGACGCATCAGGCATACACTCAGTTACAGCTTCCTTAGCCACAGGTTTTCATTTTATTTTAGAATTCGGGCTGGCACAAGTCTATTTTTAAACTTGTTTGCATGTTATCTACCTGTCTATTTATTTCTTTATTTTCCATTGGCCTGGCAGCCCCTTAGAGATTTTCCAGAAAATACCTGACCCATCTTGGTCAGATGTTCCAATGAACAGAAGGAAAACAGCTTGCTCAGCTGAAACACAGTAATTAGCACATACTGTGGTAACTCTCAGTGCTTCTCTAACCTGCTGGCCACACAGCATGATTTCCTTGGGATTTTGTTTATTTTGCTTTTAAGCAGAAGTGTAATATTACTGGGAATCACCAGATGGCATTGCTGCAGATAACTTTGATATTTCTCATTACCTGACTCTACACAAGATAGGTACTGAGGAAATACTTCTTGCAGTCTAGCACAGAGTTCTTCCTGATGTTACTACTTGAGCTCTGTTAGAGAAATATAACTTTTAAATTAAACATATGTGGTCTCAATTTTTATGCACATGTGCTAATACGCCTGAACCCTCATGATGTCATAAGGTTTGTCTGCAGCACAGGAATGGGCACAGCTGCACAGGAATGGTTTAGAAACACAGACACAAGAAATGTAGGTTCTTTACACTACTTTAAAATTTCATTGCTTCTTAATTACTATATTCTTTAAGTTCATTGAAACGATTTACGGACTTAAAATTGTTAAAAGACTACCTATTTAGCGGCTGAATCTTTTGGATGAAGAGCTTCTGCTACAATGGTTGCATCTGCAAATAACCTGGGATTGAATTATGTAATAACTCACAGCTCATTAAATTCTTCTGAAAAGACTAAATGACATGGGTGTTAATTTTTAGTGCAGGCTATAGTGTATAACATATGTCAGCACTTTCAGAGCTGCTCTACCTCCCAGCCTGCACAGCTCCAGTCCCAAGGATGGCCATGGCTGGTGCAGGATGCAGCTGCCTCCACGGGTACCACTGGTGCTGAGTGAGCAAGTACAAGGGTGAATGGACCTTTACAACTGCTTAGCTTTCAAGGCATGATGAAGTTGTGACATGACACCTATTCATATTCCCATATAAAGGGGCAAGATTGCATTTTCTCTTCTTCATTTCAAAATCCTTCATTTAAAGACAAGGATAAAACATTGAGATTTCCTCCTGAACAAAGGACTAATTTCCCAGATACATGCAGAAACTTCATTTTGGTGAGGTTAGGATTTTTCTTCCTGCTCACAGTGTAACATTTCATTCCATTGATGACAACAGGTTTGTGCCTACACCACCATTTTTTTACACTTGGCTTCATTTTCAGCCAGATACAGTCACCCCTCAGTGTCTCTGCAGCAGTGCTAAACCAGTGCAGGCTGCAGAGGCCACCAGTCTGGCACTCACCTGCAGCTGAGCTCTGTGCCATAGTGAGTACACGAGCACCATATTTACAGTTAGATCGAGCCCATCCTCAGGAACTGAGCTAGAGATGTATTCTTAATTGCAGAAGTAAACCTCCAACACTATGTGGCAAAAGGAGACTAAAACCTGAGGCTGCCACCACCATAGCAAAGGCTAACAGGCAGAAGTAAGTGTGATTTTTGTTCATGGTGCTTGATTAATATTTTTATCCAGATGCCCTGGAAAGCTCTGGGTCATTGCTCTAGAAGAGTAATTTTGAATCCAGTGAACATGCAGATCTCCTGCCTTTTGCATCATCAAGTTGGCATTTTCCTGGGCTTCCAGCAGTCAGAGAAATTCCTAATACCAGTGTATGATTGCAGCTTTATGTGTTAGTGAATGAAAAGCCATGTCACTAAGGGAATTGCTCATGTTGATGAAAGGAATCTTGCTTGGTTGAACAGGCAGAGGTGTTTTGGGAGCAAGAGGACAGTTCTCTCATTTGGAGATGTCAAATCCATAGTTTAGATCATAACTGCCCTCATGTCTCCCTCAAAAGCATTTGAAACCACCTCAGTGGAGACAGTTCTGAGATACTCTTCTACTTTCTTCACATCTGCTTAGCTGTTGTGCCATTTCCCTCCCATTATATTAAAGCAGATATTAATAGAAACCACTGATGATACCTTTCTTGTTTTGCTTCTGTGAGCTAGCCACAGGGAACAGCAAGGTAGTCAATATGGATGTTTTTGAAAGGAATTAATTCAGTTCTAATCCCTATTAAATGGATAGTGGTATGTAAGCCAGGTAGTAAAAAAGACAAGTTGTCTGAAATGCTACCAGTGGAAGGGATAGGCCCTTGGGAGACCAAGAATTAAAAAACGAGAAAGATAACTCAGTAAAATTCCCACAGCAGAAAATAGGCACTACAGCAGTCTTTAAACGCTTCTGTGTATGTCCAAAGAGAGTACAGCAAATCATTCCTCTCTGCCTGACTACAGAAGCAGTAACTCAAGACAGACTCACTGGATTATGTTTTCCAGTAACAGAGTTTTGTTAATATAATTTTTTAATAAAGTCTGCTACCCAGAGAAGAGACCAGGCCTGTATTTGTGGTTGTACTACAAAAAAGGGAGCATAAACAAGAGGTAGTTTACAATAAAGATGTTTCTCTTTCAGGTTTTCCAGTGTTTTTGGCTGATACACACAGCAAACCTTCTCCATTTATACACCATCATCTCCAAACTCAGGCATCATTTTCCTAAGTGACAGGAACAACCTCTTACATAAAGATAATGAAAAAATAGTTATTTTCTTCTGTATTAACAATCACAGTTGGTTTTTTTTTTTTTTTTTTATAAAGGAAAAGTGTTAACAAAGCCATTCTCAAAAAACTGAAAAACCACTCTGGGATCAACTAGAGTTGCACACTGAAAAATCCTATCCTTCAGCTTTTGCCTCAGAATACATTTGACACAAACTAATACTGCACAATGAAGTAACACACACCTTATGCAAATCCTGTCTTTGTGGTGTGGTGCAAACCCTGTGTGCACACAGATTATTTCTATAGCAGAAAAAAACATGAATACCTTAAGGGTTAGTGATTTAGATGAGAACTGCTCCTCAGCATTTGTTAAAAACACTTTGATGTCTGTGATGTACTGTCAATATACTTCCAACAGTACTTAGAGTTGATACTTCTAGAAAAATCTTGAATTTAGATGAACCTTTCTGGTAAAAGGACTGAAAGTATTTTTTTTGATGATATAAACCAATTGACAAGAGGCTTTATAAGGGTTAGTGATTTAGATGAGAACTGCTCCTCAGCATTTGTTAAAAACACTTTGATGTCTGTGATGTACTGTCAATATACTTCCAACAGTACTTAGAGTTGATACTTCTAGAAAAATCTTGAATTTAGATGAACCTTTCTGGTAAAAGGACTGAAAGTATTTTTTTTGATGATATAAACCAATTGACAAGAGGCTTTAAAAAAGACTGGAGTGAGAGGTAAAGAACTTACAAGGAATGAACAACTGAACCTGTGAGATAACACACAAAAAGGCAAAAGTTTACAGAAAACAGAGATTAAAGAACTGCAAAAAGAGATAATAGGTACAGTGAAATACTCATTCAATATTAGTCAAGAATATGAATAGTAAATGAAGCTTGTGTAAAATAGTGGAGTGGATTCACAGAAGTCAAAAGAAAGAGGCCCTCTCATCCTTCCACAGGGAAGAGCACACACATGTATGTAATGGCTCCTGCTTCTTGCTTTCTTAGTGAGAGAGACAGATTTGGATTTTGGTTTGACTTGCTTTCTCTTCCCCTTAAGCACTATTCTGGAGACAAAATCTGGAATTCATCATGGTTATTTCCAAAAGAAAAGCATTGCCAAAGAAAACCTCAAACATTAGGCTGGAAGTCTCTCATTTAGATTGAAACCTCTCTGTCCTGTAAGGCTTGAATAGTTTGAAGTGCAGAGAGAATGTACAGCAAGATGTGAACATGCATGTTTTGACCCTGCATACTGCTTCTTCCCACCTCTTAGATGTGGCCTAGAGAGCTGTAACAGTTTCTCCAAGCCAGTAAACAACACATCCAATAACTTGCAAGATCACCTCATCTTTGTAGAAACCTCAGCAGAGGGACCCTCCTCTGGTGGTAGGAGCCAGCAGAGCTACTAACCCAGAGCCTTCTTGTTCAGCCTTGCCAAATTGTGATTGTTCTTTTGGGGAGGAGAGCGAGAGGAGACATGACCTTGAACTTCTCTTCTATGTGCTTTTAGCTCAGAATAAATTAGCTTGGACATAGGAGGAACCAGAACTGCATCAGCCATGATGTGTGTGCAATTTGAGGCTGATTAATCTGTCCAGCTCCCTGGTGAAATACAGACTCTCTTACGGGCTTGGTGTCGGACTCAGAAGAGCACATCATTGATCTGATGGAGCTGCACAGAAAAGTACCTTCCCTTTCCACCACCCGTCTGGATTTCCCTTTGTGTTACTCACCAGTACTGCTCTGGATGGTCCTCACCGTGGTGGTTGTACGTGGGGGAGATGAAGACCGCAGCGATATGCACTCATCATCCTGGGAACAGCCCTTCTCAATGGCTCTGACGTAGCTGTGGCTCCGCATGCGGAAACATCCCGGCATAGGCAGATCCAGCGCTTCCACTGCCTGAGACTCGAGTTCACTGAACACCGACTCGCAGACAGATTCAAACTGACCATTCACCTCCATCTCACTCACCTGTAGACAAAGATCAGGCATGTTCATTACATCCCATACACAGATACGATGGCCAACATCTCTTAGAAGATCCCTTCACACATGAAGAAAGGTGAATGGCACATAAACACATCCCATAGTACAAAGCAACAATTGTGAGGGGAAAAAAGCAATGTACAAAAGGGGAGACAGAGGCATTGGGCAGAGATTCAGAGATTCTTGGC